CTGCTTTTAATTTGGGCTTTATTGCTAGAGGGTGTGTGCACTTGCCAGAGAGGGAGGGGGCACCCCAGCAGGGCGTGGTCACGCCACAGTCCTTTATCCAGTTCCATCCTATCAGGGTTTTGGACGTGTGCACACGCACCTGGCGTGTTCCTCCAGCTGCCTGGGCTAGGACTAGGGCCACCGCCTCATGTGACGGACGCCCCTCTGCTGGGCCTGAGCAGAGGGCTGGGGTTAGAGTTCTTGGATGTCGATGTCTGTGAGCATCCTGTGTGGGCAGACCAAGGGCACCTGCCCCTCCGCACAGTGGCCACGGCATAAGTCTCTGCTGATGCCACTCTGGGTTTTTCTCTAAGTAATTATTTTATTTAACTTTACTTATTTATTTTAATTTGACCAGAGAGGGATGGCGGGGGGGATTGAGAAAGCAAGCCGCCAGGTCAGGGACTTGAATCACCGTCGGCCATGTGGGAGTCCAGCACCCCTAACCACCACACCACCTGCTGGCCCCAACTGCTCTGCTCTGACCCCAGCTCGCTGTGCTGGGGCCTGTCACTTCAAACCGAAGCCCTCCCACAGGTGCCAGCCCGACCACAGTCTAAGCCTGAGAGCGGACCATGGGGGGTACCTGGGGGGGGCCGCAGCCTGAACCCAGAGCAGGAGAGGCCCGCCATGCCCATGGGCAGCTCCTGCCCCCGGGCCGGGTGTCCCCTCCCCCACATCCAGCCTTACCTGGAGCTGGAGATTCCTGGCTCCTGCAGGGGGACCTCTTCATGAGAAACCCCGTGCCCCCCGTGACACCCCTTCCTCCCATCGGCACGTCTACACCCTCTGGTCCTGGGCAGCCTCCAGGCTGACATCACTGCAGGGCTGAGTCTGATGTGGCCCAGCCCGGCCCAGCCTGCCGCGAGCCCGCGGGGCCGCCAGCACCGCACAGCCACACTTGCCTTGTCTGGGAGCAGAGATGAGGGCAGCGCCGTTGTCGGAAGTGAAGAAGACGAAGGTGCTGTTCCCGATCCCGAGGGCCCGGAGCAGCGCCAGGATCTTCCCAACACTGTCATCGATCTCCCGGACGGCGTCCCCGTACCTACAGGGTGCAGGGACGCCTTGACTCAGAGATGCACAGCGAGACTGGCCACCCCCACGGGAGGACGAGGAGCGGGTCTGTTGGGGACAGGGCCAACGCCGCCCCTGCGGCTCCCTATCCGGGCTGGCGGAGGCTCAGACGCCAGGGCTTCCATCCTGGCCTGTGCTGGGAAGCAGTGCGCCGCCGGCAGCTCCCCGTACCTACAGGGTGCAGGGACGCCTTGACTCAGAGATGCACAGCGAGACTGGCCACCCCCACGGGAGGACGAGGAGCGGGTCTGTTGGGGACAGGGCCAACGCCGCCCCTGCGGCTCCCTATCCGGGCTGGCGGAGGCTCAGACGCCAGGGCTTCCATCCTGGCCTGTGCTGGGAAGCAGTGCGCCGCCGGCAGCTCCACCCCGGGACCCCCCCCCGGGAGGGAGGCGGGGGGGCGGGCGGGCGTCCTGTCTGGCCACTCACCGCCCTCGCTGACTGGTGCCCAGGAAGGGCTGGGACGCGTACACGGGGGCGTGTGTGGCGTCGATGGCCCAGTGCAGGAAGAACGGGCGTCGTCCAGCCTGTCTCTTGATAAAGTCCAGGGCTTCCTGCGGAGAGCAACCGCCGTCCTCATCTGGCCCCGGCCCCGGCCCCGGCCCCACTCAGACCACTACCTGCAGGTAGATCTGTGTGAGGTTGGCTTCCCCTGTCTTCAGACTGATCGGAAATTCTTCATAAAATCTGAAAACATGACGCAGACAGAGCTGAGAATGCAGGCCGAGACAGCCCCCTTCTGATCTCCCTGGGGGGGCAAGGCCCGGTGTAAACAGATGGGCGGGCTACTGGGTGGCGAAGTCGTTAAGGCGGCTGATCCCACATAGCCAACTAGGTGGCTGAGTCCTGGACCTGGCAGCTTGAAAAATATGTTGGGTACGTGTGCGTGCACCCCAAAATCCCAAGAGAAGAGACTGCACGTGGCCATCGCCATCCCCCCTCCCTGTGAGGCCTACCCCAACAGGAAGGTGCAGCGAAGGGAAAGGACACCCATCTGAGCGGCTGACCCGGGAGGTGTGTGCTGGGCAGCCTCACCACTCGCAGCAGGATCTGGGGAGAGCCCTGACCCAGGCCCAGGGCCCCGTCCCCGGGCAACGCTGCCTTCCCTGAGCATCTGGGAAGAGTGCGGCCCCGCACATGGGCATGGGCAGGAGGCCCGAGCCGGGCCCAGCACCCTGACAGGCCTCACAGCTGACCTGAGCCGGGCCCAGCCTGGTGAGTGTGCCGAGTAGGAAGGGCCTGAGCCTTGGACACTCACAGGATCACTGGCCCTACGCAGGCAGCAGACGGCCTGACTCGGTCTCAGGGCCCTCGGGCACAGGTTCAGGACAGCGCTGGAGTCTGGCTCTGCTGCCAGCAGACGGCTCCGGGGCAGGGCGGGCCCGGTCAGCGGACGGCTGGGGCGCGGGGCGGGGCGTTACCTGCCAACCATCTCCCAGTCCCTGTACACCGGGATGTTAGGCCTGGCTTTGTTGTCGTAAGGCCCAAAGTGACAGTTGGGGGCTCCGAACCACTCATCGAATCCGTGCCTCAGTGGGTGGAACTGGGGCCTGTGACCCAGGTGCCTGGAAACAGAAGCCCAAGACTCAGGGCTGCGGGGATTCCGGGGCTCTGAGCGGCGCCAACCCATCACCCTCCCAGACCGTGTGGGCCCAGCCGCCCAACCACCAGGCCATGGGCCGGCCGGCTTCCCACCTCACAGGGGACCGGCACAGATGCCCGAGCTCCTGTGGGGCCTGCGTGCTCGGCCCTGGGGCCTGGACCCCCGGGTGGGGCCCGTGGTCCCCACTGAGCCACCTGCTCTCACCAGCCAGCACGGACCCTGAGCAGCCTCTGCCGGCTTTCTGCGCCGACACCGCGTGGCCAGGCAGGATGCTACCCAGGCAAACGTGACGTGCTGGTGTCCCTGCTGAGCTCGGGAAAGCACTCCGGGATGCCTGGCCCAGTAACAGTGGGGCTAGCACTGACCAGGCTGGGGAGCGGTCGCCACCACGCCTGCCTCCCGCCGTGGCCTGGGTGACTGAGCTCCCTTCTCAGGAGCCCACGCCCTGCGCTTGGTCGGACAGATGACATCGGGCTCTTGGCGCTGGGTCAGGAGACACAGCAGCCCCCCATGGTGGACCACGCCCACAGCTCTGTGACCTGCAGGTCCCTGACGGGATTGGGGGTGAAGAGGCTACCGGCACCTCCTCTGCCTACTGGGCAGGCACCCGCCCAGCCCCGGACTCCCCGGGGAGTCCCGCACCCGGACAGGCTCTGCGGCCGCCCTCGCCCGCTCCCTGGCCAGCCTCCAGGCCGCTGGGCTTTCAGAGGCACCATCGCTCGGGTGGTGGCAGAGCCCCAACGCCTGGCTGTCACTCCACAAGGGGTGTCCTGATGCGTTGCTGTCGCACGGGGGAGCCCTGACACCTCACTGTCGAAGGTCCGGCCTGAGCCGAGGTCGCGCCCGCGCGGGACTCACCACTTGCCGACAATCTTGCTGACGTAGCCGGCCCCCTTCAGGAGCTCGGGCAGGAGGTGCTCGGAGCTGGGGATGCCGCCCACAATCTCCTGTGGCGTGTACGCTGGGAGGGAGACGGCGTGTGAGTCTGCCCGGAAGCTGAGCCAGCCTTGGCCCGGCAGGGTCGGGGACAAAGCCAGGGCCATCTGCACGGCTCTTCTCGGCGTACCACCGTTACCGGGGTAGGGACAGGGCTAACTGTGCCTGCCCCCACCCCCCACTTGCGGTCCCGCCCTGGCTACCTTGGCCGGGGACTTGCAGTCCACCCCCGCGCTGCACCTCCCTGGGCCCTCCTGTTCTTCCTTTTCTTCAAGGCCACTAGGGAGCCCCTCACCCGTGAGGGTGGCCGTGAGAGCCCTGTGCCTGGCGAGCCCTCTGTTCCCAGCGCATTCGCAGTCCCCACCCTGGTCTCCACTTGCCCACCTGATCAGGCCGGGGCCTCTGGAGGGACGGCCAAGCCAAGGCCCCTGGGAGCCACAGCAGGGGAGGGGCCAGGTGGGGACCTGGGCTGCCCAGCCTAAGCCTAGCTCCGTACCCTACTGAGAGACCTGCACAGCCAAGGCCCGACCCCACTCCCTGCCTGCCTGTCACGTGGCTCTGGAGGGCGTGCCGTGGGCCTCTTGCAGTGGCCAGGACCACCCAGCAGCCAGCGCATGCACTGCCAAGTGAGGTCCTGGCCGCTCCCACCGCCCAGGCCTGTGAACCCAGCCTGGGTGCCCTGGAGCCTCCCCACCTCACGCGAGCTTGGAGGGCGTGGCAGGGCCTACCATTTCTGGCGTGGGCGTTGGTGGTGTAGAAGCCGGTGCGGATGGGCAGCCGTCCCGTGAGTAGAGCTGCTCTGGCTATAAGGGGCCAAGGGTGGAAAGCTGCTGGGGCTATGCGGGACTGCGCTGCGGCCACTCCCCAGCACCTGTGTGCAGTCGCCTGCCGCCTCTCGGGCTCGCCAGGGCCACCCCGGCTCCCCCACGCTCCCGGGAACACTGGTCTTTGGGCTGCCCTCCCTGCTCCAGCCCTCTGTCTGAGTCCCAGCAGGGCGATGTGGGGGGCGGGGCTTTGGGGCCCTCTCCCCACCCCAGGGCCGTGCTCCGTTCAGGGAGCAGAACTGAGTCACCAACAGCAGCGACCTCTTCCTTGGGACACTGGGACGGGCTCTGCGCCCTGCACACCGAGGTGCCTGTCGGTCCTGGGGAGAAGGCCTCGCCCAGACTTGGGTCAGTAGGACGTGGGGTGCCCACCCCCAAGGACCACAGCAGGACTTACACGGTGAGCAGAGAGGGTTGGCGGAGTAGAAGTTTGGGAATAGCATCCCTTCTGCAGCCATCTGGTCCAGATTCGGGGTCTCTCTGGAAGGTTCTCCATAGACCCCAAGGTCACCCCAACCCATCTGCAGAGAAGAAAATGCAGAAGAAAAATGAGCTCTTTTTTCCTCTTAATTTTATCCATTTTCTAAAAGTTTTTTTGAGAAAGACAGACAGCCACACCCCAGCAGGGTGCTGACACACGCCCCACCGCGGCCAGCCCAGGTCGCGGCAAGCCGCACGCACTTGGCCTCCCGGGCAGGGCCTGTCCTGGAGCCTGTCATGGCCTCAGCCCTGCACCACAGGCCAGCTCTACCAGTGTCCCAGGGAGCGGTGGCCGACTGACCCACCGCTCCTCTGGGCGCCATGGGGCCGCCAGTGGGCCAGACTTTGCAGGGCACACCGTGTCCGTGGGCGCTACCTCAGGGGGCGTTCGCGACGACACCCCCCCAGCCCGACTTGCATCTGCAGCCCACAGGGAACTGGCACTTCCCTTACGAAAAACAGTGCTGTGGGCGTGCCTGGCCCGGCAGATTTGGCCTCCAGGCTCCCTGGGGCTCCGTCCAGAGCTGCCCCAGACTCCACCCGACAGCCCGGGGGGCCAGCTGCGACTCTGGACCTGGCAGGGCAGAGCCCCCTGACGTAGGCCACCACGGTGCGGTCATGTGTCAAGACGCTGTGGAAACCCACATGCACGCCAGGGACTCCCATGCGGCAACTGCTCGCCAACATCTAGACGGAGGGGCGGAGCAAGCCCATGGGCCACTGGCTCAAGGCCCATCGCAACAAGCCAGGCAGGCAGCCGGAGGCAGGACATGGGTCCGAGGGTGTGGGTGGCCGGCGGGGCACAGCGCCCTGTCCAGGGGGTGAAACGCCCTGAAGTTGGGAGCTGCCGGTGGCATAGCACAGATCCTCCTCGGCGCCGTGGGGTGCTGCCGGCTGACGTCAGGGTGTGCACAGTGCAAGTGTACCACGGTGCTTCCCATGGGCAGGAAGGATGGGGACAGAGGAACAATGGCGGCAGTCTAGGTCGACAGAGAACAGCCGCACACCCGTGGGAGGGAGAGCCCGCCTAACCTGGCCAAGAAGGGTGAAGACACTGCCGCGGGGAGAGCCTGCTGGTCGAGTACGGGCTGCTGATGCTCTTGGGGGGAGCCGATGGCAAATCTGATCCTTTCAGCCCCGGGGGGGTCACACCACAGGTCCAGACTAGAGCCCCCAGGCGGAACCCCACAGCAGGACTCCAGAGCAGGACAGGGTGGCGGCACCACTAACTCCAGGCCGGGAGACCCTCGGGCCAAGCACAGCATGGGCACTCCCCTGTACCACCTCCACGGCTCAGAGGTCTCCAGGCTGCCCTTCCATACGGGGGCCTGGGAGCTGCACCTGGAGCAGGGCAGATGGCTGAAGGGGTGGTCGGGGCCTGAGCGGGGCTCAGCCCACAGCTGGGTCCTCTAAACGCTCACGAGACACACTCGCTGGACCTGGAGACCACGGAGACTCGTGCAGTGTTCCCAAGACACACGGGGCAGGGATGCACAGAGGCCAGCCCTAGACCACGCGAGGTGACTTTGAAAGGGAAACGATATGCAGGTGGGAGCTGCGGGGCTCCGTGCACTGGGAGGACGGCGAGCCCCGGACCGCCAGCCCACCACAGGGCGTGCCAACAGCACGCGTGCATGGCGGCATGACCCACAGCGGCTGCGGCGGGTGAGCTGGAGGCCCGTCAGCCAAGCACAGAGGTCACAGGGCCCTCAGCGTGACAGGAGTCATGGCCAGACATACGACAACATGCATGGTAGCCTCCAGACTGGGGCCCGTCATGGTGACACGACCGGTCCAGAACGGACACACGGACAGCAGGAGGTCGGGGCCACTACTGGCAGGCTGCTCTCACTGGGGCGACGGCCATGTGAGGTCCCCCCCCCGGGGGGGCAGGCGGCATCTCAGCACCCCAGCTTCGAGGAGTGGCCTGGACCGGGCCTCCGGGGCTGTGTGCAGTGACAGTGGTCTGCTCCCCGCGGGCCCTGCAGTGTGCTGCCAGCAGGGTCTGTGGGGGCCAGGGGCTCCCAGAGGAGGCGGCATGTCCAGGCCTGCCCCAGACACTGCCTGCCACCTGGCCTCTGACCCGCGGCCCACTGTGAAGCCTGCACAGGGCGACCGGGAAGCCTGGGACGCCGGCGCGGGGCTCTAGGGCTGGTCACACAGGCATTCGTGGTGAGGGACCACACAGTACTTCACAGCCACTGCCTTCCACAGAGCTCCCCTTGCACACTGCAGCTGCCTGGCAGCACCCCGGGATGACCACCGACCTGCAGCTGTCGGGCTAGGACAGGCTGTGGGATTCCTCGTGCGCAAAGCACCTTCCTCTACGCCCTCAACACCCCCAAACCCCTGACACCACGCTCCCCGTGGGGAGGGGTGAAGGCCACCGTGCTCCAAGCGCAACCGTCCTTGCCTCGGGAGACTGCTAACAGACACAGCCCGGGCTCCCCCCGCCCCCACTGGGCGACCACTAAGGAAACAGGCCACCGATCACCGACCCCTCCCTTTGCGCGGCCCTGACCGCCCCTGTCCTGCTGTACACGGGAGAGCAGGGCTGGGGAGCAGGCCCTGGGCGCACACAGACCAGGGCTTCCCACGCCCACAAGCACCCAGAGCACTTGCGGGCCCCCGGCTCCTGGTGGGGACGTGTTTCAGAGAAGCTGGCATCCCGTCCGGCCCCCCGTGAAGGCCCAGGCAGCCAGGTGTGCTTCCCACGCAGGGGACCGAGGCGCAGGGCAGGGGCTTGTGGCCGTGCACAGGTCTGAGGAGCACCCCATCTGGAAGTGCTTTCACAGAGAGTGGGGCCTGGCCACAGACAACAGAACCAGACTCTGCAGTTCTCTCCAGAGACTGAACTAAGATGCAAACTTGTCCTCACAGGCCGGGCAGGGCTCATGAGGCCAGCCAAGCCACCCTGTGCAAACCAGGGTCATGGAAAGGCTGTGCCGGCCCCACCCAGGCTGACCACGGCATAGGAGGTCAGCGTGCAGACGGAGGGGCCGCGAAGGGCACAGGAGGCCGGGCTGCAGATGGAGGAGGGCACAAGAGGCCGGGCTGCAGACGGAGGAGGGCACAGGAGGCCGGGCTGCAGACGGAGGGGCCGCGGAGGGCACAGGAGGCCGGGCTGCAGATGGAGGAGGGCACAAGAGGCCGGGCTGCAGACGGAGGAGGGCACAGGAGGCCGGGCTGCAGACGGAGGGGGGGAGAGGAG